GCACTGGGAAACCTGAAAGTTCGTGTGACTCACTTCATTGCGATATGGGGTGGTCAGGAGCTGAACCCGCAGAATCTCCAAGTACGCCTGTAAAGATGTTGTCACGAGTTTGAGTTACTTTGGAGTCACGGCGACTCCACACGTTACAGAGTAGAATGACTGTGTAGGGGTTTCCTGGCTGTTATCTTTACGGAAGCAGAACGCCCGGTCTTCTTTCCCTTCAAGCCTCTAGGTGGGTTTGAACCTCCAATCTTAAAACCACTGATGCAACCCGAGCCCCTTCCTTGTTGCATACAAGATGGAGTCGGTTAACAAGCATAGCACACTTCCTGTGTGGGAGTCACCATACTGCACACGTGACACCAGGCACTACGGGCCACAGAGTCCTGACTGAAACCCTCAGGGCCATTGTTAAGAATTGTTTAGAGTTTAGAAGGGAATATGGTGCGTACCTCACCAATGTCGCAATATCCTTACTGGGGTCTAGCACGGCACTTTGAAGCAACCCTTGGAATATGTCCTCAAAGACACACATGAGCATTTACACCAAGCTGGGTACAAATCCATGAAGTCTACAAATGGTCTTCCACCACTGCTTTGTCGGCGTGGCTCGCGAGCTGCCACACTGTGGGAAGGAATGCCACTGGTATTTCAGACGTACCAGCAGGGTCACCCATGGTGGACAGGTTTCAACAGAACATCCAGACTAAGAGAGACTAGGAAGAAAGGCCTGGTGATTTAGTTCTGAAAACTAACCAACCAAAACGCTAAGGATTGCAGACTATCACCTGAGACTTGGGCTGGCTTGCTCTGGACACATCATCATCAGAGAAGGACTAGCAAAGGTAAGGGAGTGACAAAAAAGCCACAGCAATGAGTTCAGACCTGCCAGCTGTCTCAGGCTGGGTTCTCTAGAGAAGCAAAACCAGGGAAACTCACGTATGTACACAGAAAGAGAAGTTTATAGCAAGCAAATTGCTCCCACAGTGGACTCCAGGTCAGATGAACCAAGGTGAGCAGGTGAGAGGGCAGGCAGGCAGGTCCAGCAGGTAAGAAGGCCACCTGCTGACAACTCCCAAGATGGACAGGTAATAGAGCAGGCCACTGGCTCAAGTCCAAAGAACGGAGGTCAGAGGACAAGCAGATGCAAGATCCAGACACAGCGGACAACCAGCATGCCTTGTCCAAGTGTCCAGTAGATTGGAAGCAGGTCACACCCCCGAGGAAACTTCCCTTCAGTTGACTGGCTGCTCAGAGCAGATCTGACCACAGAGTTTGGTTCCATTTCATTAGCTCACATCACAGTGAGTAACCACAAGTTAGCTTCCAAATCACACGGAATCCTGGCCCAGCCAAGTTAGCGTGAAATCTTAACTACCACACCAACCATGAGGACAGTACAAAAAGTTGGCAGCGTTCTGTTCTGTTATGCGTAAGGTCATCACAAGCCACAACAGACACAAGTAGCAATCTCATGTCAAGTTGGGTCAGCCCAACAAGACAGAAAAACACCTTTGGTTTCGCAGAGCTCTTTGGAATTGCAGGTGAGGGGTTGTTGTTGTTGTTGTTGTCAGGTGCCATCGAGTCGGAACCGACTCATAGCGACCCCATGCACAGCAGAACGAAACAATGCTCGATCCTGGGCCAACCTCACCACCGCTGCCACCCCCGAGTCCATCAATGATGCCACCTGGCCGATCCATCTCGTTGGAGGTCTTCCTCTTTTTCTCTGACCCTCCACCCTACCCAGCATGACATCCTTCTCCAACGATTGTTTCCTCCGGACAACATGTCCAAAGTAGGAGAGACGAAGCTTAGCCATCCTGGCCTCCAAGGAGCACTCTGGCTGCACTTCTTCCAAAACAGATCTATTGGTTCTTTTGGCAGTCCATGGCACCCTCAGTATTCTCCTCCAACACCACAACTCAAAGGCATCAATTCTTCTACGATCCTCTTTATTCACTGTCCAGCTTTCGCATCCATATGAGGCTATTGAAAACACAATGGCCTGGGTCAGGCGCACCCTAGTCCTCAAGCTGACATCTCTGAGGGGTTAGGGAACTGTTTTATGATACCCATTGTATAGATGGGTCAATCAAGGGCAAACAGGTCAGGTGACTTTCCCACGTCAGTCAAGGTAGTAAACAGCAGTCGAGATGGGAGCCCAGTGGTGTCTCCCTAAAAAGCCAGGGCTTGGACCACAAATGGAGCCTCCTCTTTTGCCCACTCTGCTACCATACCTGTCAAACTCAGCTCAAATATCCCTCGACCAGGTTTCTCCTAACATTCCAAGCACAGCTGAGGACACTAGTCTCCCAGAAAACCCTGCGGTACAATAGCTTACTCAACTCATCCTCTTTTGATGGACTTGAAAGTCATCTCCAGGGCTTAGCCAATAGAAGAGAGGCTGTCTGCTCCTGTAAAGGTTTACAGCCTCACAGATACCCTATACAGGGTCACTATGAGTTGGAACTCGATGGTAGTGAGTTTAGATTCCCAAAAATAGGGTTGCTAGGTCAAAGGGATGGATAGTGTTCATTTTGCCACATTATTATTTTTAAAGAGGAGTCTAGCAGTTTACAGCCTCACCCCACCACTCAGAGACTCTATAAGACAACGGTGGAACTGCTTCATAGGGCTTCCAGGGTTATATATCTTTACAGGGCCAGAAAGCCTCATCTTTCTCCAGAAGCGCTGCTGGTGGGTTTGAATTCACCTTGGGTTTAACAACCCAATGCTTTTGGGCCTGACCCACTACCAATGAGTTAATTTCAACTCATGTTGTTGTTAAGTGCCGTCGAGTTGGTTCCAACTCATAGTGACCTCCCATAGGGTTTCCAAGGAGTAGCTGATGGGTTTGAATTTCCAACAGTCCAGTGTTTATCATCACACTAGGACTCTGACTCATAGTGACCTTGTACAGGGCGTCCAAGGAGTGGCTGATGGGTCTGAGCCATCGACCTTGAGGTAAACAGTTCAGTGCTTATCCTACAGTAAGTACTACACCAGGACTCCTCATTCCCAGCCTTTGTTGTTGTTGTTGTGTGCCACTGAGTTATTTCTGTATAGAATTGACAAGAGGGCTTCGACTACTGTCCTGGTGGTTAGTAGTTCGATGCTAACAGCACCACACCAGGGCTCTCATTCCCAGCCTAACAGTGATGAATTTGAATGCCCATGTCTCCATCTACTTATCAACACAGCATTATCAGCCGTCTTTTTCAAGTTTTAACAACTGGATGGATTTAAAAAAAAAAAGATCTCTGGTTGTTTCAAATTGGCTTAAGCATTAGAAAACATGAACATCTTTCATGTATTTAGTGACCAAAATTTTGCTTCATTGAATGTGCCTATCAGATGCCTCTTGCTTCAGTATTTTCTTTAGCAGGTTTTGGAAGTTTTGTAGATTGTGTCCATTCTGACTCACAGTGACCCCATGTGACTAAGAGTTTCCTGGGCTATAATCTTTATGCACCAAGTCCTGGTGTGGTGCTGTAGGATAAGCACTGGACTGCTAACCACAAGGTCGGAGGTTCAAACTCACCAGCTGCTCCTCGGAAACCCTATACAGGGTCACTATGAGCTGGAACTAGCTCACCGACACACCACCACCAACCACTGAAAACAAACACCAAGCCATCATGTCCCTTTGAGGACCACTGTGTGCACTAAGGTATTTGAAATCATCTCGTATGTATGTGAAAGCTGGACACTGAATAAGGAAGACCAGAGAAAAATGGAAGCATTTGAATTATGGCATTAGGGAATAAAGCATACCATGAACCGTCAGAAAAACAAACAAATTTGTCTTAGAAGAACGGCAGCTAGGACGCTCTTTAGAAGCAAGAATGGCAAGACTTCATCTCATGCACTTTGGACACATCACTAGGAGGGACCAGTCCCTGGAGAAGGGCATCACACTTGGAAAAACAGAGGGTCAGAGAAAAAAATAGATGGGCACAGTGGCTAAATCTGTGGACTTTGTGAGGAAGGAGCAGGACCAAGGAACGTTTGGTTGTTATACACGGGGTTGCCATGAGCCAGAACTGACTCAAGGTGGCACTTTAAGAACTAACCCAAAAGTGGACAGGTCGAACCCAACCACTGGCACGCGATTAAAGACGCCATAATCTGTTTTCATAATGATCACAGCCGAGAAAATCTACGAGGGCAATTCAATTCTATAACACACTGGGTCCCACCTGAACCAGAGTGAACTGGAAGGCAACAGATTTGGTTTTTGGTTCGGTGTATAGATTATTTTCTTCCAGGTAGGGGTGGCCAATCATGCTGGCCAGCACTGCTTCTAAACAAAACAATGAATGAGCCTTTTCACATGACTTGGAATCTGTCTTCTGCCATCTCGCTCTATAGATAGATGCACACATATAGACATATAAACACACACTTAGATCTATTTCTAGACAGTCTATTCTGTTGCAAGGATGTCTGTCTTTTCCTGTGTCAGGCCACGTGGATTATTTTTAGAAGCAGGCAAAAATTTTAAAAAGCATTTAATTTTTTTTTTTTTTTTTTGTAACAAGCGGTTTGGAACGGCTGCAGGGGCTGGGGGATGGAGGGGGAATAGGGGAGGGCAGAAATAACTAGAAACCCAGTAGCAGGTTGAGAAAGGCATCAGCTACATCCCCTCACAACCTCCCATCTCCCACCCCAGTCCCAGCCCCAGCCCCAGCCCCAGCCAAGAGGTAAAGAAGGACCCAGGTGCTTGCAAAATAAAGTCTTTCCTTTTATTTCAAATCAACCGATTCCAAGTTAGTGTTAGGAGTTCAGACAAGGGGCCAGAGCCCACCGAGACGTGGGAAAGGGGTTCATGGCCCCTCCCTCGGCTCAGTCCTTCTGAGGTGTCAGGGGTGTGGAACTGTCTGCCCGTCCCCACTCCTGGCCAGCCCTGGTCCCTGGCCTGCCCTCTTGGGCTCACTCCTAGGGCTAAGGAGAAATAGAGGGGTAGGACGGGACAAGAAGGCGTCCGATGAACTGTCAGTGGGGTCTTCTCCGGCCACCAGGAAAGGAACTGCGGAGAGAGTTAGACACAGAAGGTGAACCCAGGCCAGGGGGTGGTGGACACCCCCGATTCCTTCCCATGCAAGAGAAGTGAAGAAAACTTAACTGAGGCGTGGTTTACGCTGGAGGGAGGGGTGTCCCTGGAGAAGCCCCCCTTTCCCCGTCATCTGTGACTCTGTCCTCAGAATTTGGGAAAGCAGAGTAGAGGACAGGCTTTGAAAGTTGGGGTGTCCCCCCTGGAAGCTCACCGGAGAGGGGGGGCCGGCTCTAGCCTGGCGGGAAGGAGAGGCTCAGATAGACGGCTGCCACTGCATAAAGCGCTTGGATTCCTGCGCGCGGAAGGGTGGGGCTGAGGAGGCTGCGGGGGGGAGACCCTGTGGTGTGGTGGGGGCCCCAGTCCCTCCTTCTACCTCACCCAGGGGCCCCGACCCCCAGCCCTCCTCCATCAGACCCAGGAGTCCCGACCCCCAGCCCCTCCTCCCTCAGACCCAGGAGTCCTGACCCCCAGCCCTCCTCCATCAGACCCAGGAGTCCCGACCCCC